TGTCACTGCCTCTTCTTACAGTTGTGTTGGCCACTGTGCTTGATGGACAGGGTTTCCTCATGGGGTCCGAGCCTGGGCCACTCCTTGGGACCACAGAGGCACTGTGGGCTCTCCCACCAGGTGGGAAAGCAATCATGTGGGGACTCAGGGCTGCTGCCACCTCCTCCCACAGTTGTGCTGAGGCATGACCCCACCCTCGGGGCCACAGTAGTACTATGGGCACTCATGCCAACTGGCAGAACATTCACATGTTTGCACAGTGTGGCCAGGAGGCAGGGGAGTGCTCACCTAGCTCCACCACCTCCCTAGGGCAGTCCATCCACCTTCAGATGTATAGCTGCATGGGTCTCTCTGCATCTGTTGTGTTGTGGGGGGTATCCTCCATTGATGAATGAATGCCCATTTAGTTGTGGTTCAAAGGGGAAGAGATAAAGGGAAGAGCTCACTCTGCTGTGTTGCTGATGTCACTCTCAATACATTTTTATAATATATTTAAAAAATATTATAAAAATAAATGTTAATAAAATGTTAAAAAAAAAATCCAGTGATGTCACATGATGACTCAGATTTTGAGTATCTCTTGAAAAACTGACAGATCTGGAAACATATCTGCAACTGGCAGGATAGGCCAGGTAATGCTGTAGTAATATCATCCCCCAAACCTCAATGGCTTAAAACAACAGATTTATTTCTCACTAGTGTTATACGCCCATCACAGGTTGGGAAGGTTGGAAGAGCTGCTCTGTGCAAATTGTTTTCACCCAGGGACCCAGGTTGAGGGAGATCCCCAATATGAGATGACATTGAATATGGGGGTGAGGGTGGGGAGGGAAGACCTTGGTAAATAATCGCCAGCTCCAAAGACTTCTCTGCCTGGAAGAGATATGTGTCACTTCTGCTAACAGTGTTTTTGCCAAAGCCGCACACATGATCATGCCTATTTTAAAGGGGACAGGAAAGTATAATCCTACCAGGCACCCAGAATGAGGAGAAACAGGAATGTCAGAAAACGTAACTAAGGACTGCTAAGGACTCTTTAGACAAGGCATGGACTCTTTGAGCTACCATAGTCTCCAGCACTCCTCAGTGGTCTACCAGCTCTGTAGCCAAAGGCCAGGGGACATTTGTCACACTGTCCTCTTGTTCCTTTATTCTCTGCCAGACTACTTTAGGCTTTGGGGATTTAAAGCTGTGTTTAATGAGGCAAACCAGACAATTCTTGTGTTAATTCCTGGCTGTTTTCAGCAATTAACCTCTCTGAACCTCAGTTTCTTTCCTTATAAAATAAATATAATAATTAGACCTTTCCTCGTAGTGCTGTTGTGAGAAATAAGGCAATGCTCATAAACTATTCAGTTCAGGGCCTTGTGCATAATAAGCACTCAGCAGCTACTCTTAGGGTTTTGACAAGTTACTTTTTAAATTCATAATGTATCAAAAGTTTCTTAATGTAAAAATATTTTAAAGAATACAGATAAAGTGAAAGTTTCCTTCATACCCTTATGTTACTGTCTTCTGCAGAGGTACTGACTACTATCAGATTGCTGTACAGCTTAATATCAAAAAGTAGAGTTTCTCAGGGCTGGCCCGGTGGTGCACTGGTTAAGTTTGTACTTTCTGCTTCAGTGGCCTGGGGTTTGCCAGTTCAGATCCTGGGTGTGGACCTATGCATCACTTGGCACGTCATGCTGTGGCAGGCATCCCGCATATAAGGTAGAGGAAGATGCGCATGATGTTAGCTCAGGGCCAGTCTTCCTCAAAAAGAAAAAGTAGAATTTCTGGCTCATAGGGTGTATGGATTTTTTTTTTTAAAGATTTTATTTTTCCTTTTTCTCCCCAAAGCCCCCCAGTACATAGTTGTATATTCTTCGTTGTGGGTCCTTCTAGTTGTGGCATGTGGGACGCTGCCTCAGCGTGGTCTGATGAGCAGTGCCATGTCCGCGCCCGGGATTCGAACCAACGAAACACTGGGCCGCCTGCAGCGGAGCGCGGGAACTTAACCACTCGGCCACGGGGCCAGCCCCAGGGTGTATGGATTTTAAATGTTAATAAATACTTTCAAATTGCCCTCAGAATGGCTACGCCAATTTATATTTTCTACTAGCAGTATATATGTATAACTATTTTCCCACACCCTTGCCAACATTTGATATTTAGAAAATTACCATTTTTCACAATTTGATGTGTGAACAGTTATTTAAATTCTTTTTACCTTGGTTTCTCCATGTGTTCAAAGGATCTGTTTGAGGATTAGATGAACTGTTATGCATATTTTATTATTGTTCCTTCCTTCCTTTTTGAGCTTCAGGTGTAGAGTGATATTAACCTGATTTTGAACATGAGCTCTGCCACTTTCAAGCTAGGTGACCTTGGGCCAGTCCCTTAACCTTTCGAGCCACAATCCCTACATCTGTAAAACTGAGTTAATACTTCATAGAGCTTTTGTGAGGAGGAATTGAAAAACTATGCCAAGCACCATGCCTGTCACACAGTAGGTGCTTGATACATGCTATGTTATTTTGGCTTCAAGTTTTGTCCCTCTTCTAAGCCTCAGGGAGTGAGGACTCCTATATGTGAGGTCTGTGTATGTACCAGAGTGTGCTACAAAGAACCTTTTGCAAGCAGCTTTGGCTGCAGGTTCCCAGGATTTGCCATGGATTCCAAAACTCTCAAACCACCTGGAAAGTTGTCCATGCAGCATTACCTGGTGGCACGCCTGAGAAAGAAAGACAATCCCAGCCTCTCAGGGGTTTCTCAGGAGCTGTGCCCCTTTCCCCTACTTGGGGCTGTATTCTCCTGCCCTGGGCAGTACTGATGAGTGGGTAAAAGAACATGGACTTGAAGTCAGAGAGTCCTAGCTTCCTGCCCTAGCCGTGCAACTTTGGGCAAGCTGCTTAATCTCTCTGAGCCTCTTTCTGAGAAATGGGAAATAGGGTGGTTGTGAACATTAAATGAGATCATCTCTGTAGAGAACATTAGCAAGGTGCTTGGCTCATGGTCAGCACTCCATAGAGTTGGAGGAGGTGATGTGTTTGCAGACAGTTTGCAGCCAAAGGAGGGGGGAATCCAATAGGCATGCATTTCTGAGCCAGTGAAGGGTCTCTTTGGATCTTTGTGTGATTTTTGTATGATAAGGAGCAAAAGGTAAAGAGGTTAGCAGTCTGGGAGGGAGGCAGATTAAAACTCTGATGCCTCATTTTCAAAATCCCTCATATACCTAAAGGGGTAAGGCTGTACTTCATCTTGTTTGTTTTAAAGATCTAAGTTTCCCTATTTGTAGTTCCTCATATCACTATTAAAATCTATATTTAACATTGAATGTCTTTCGAAAAATAATACAGGCACAAGTTAAAAAAATTATACAGTACCAAAGGGTACTTTGAATGAATGGAAACTAATAAGGCTTTCTCCTGCCCTGGCCCAAGTTCACCTCACTGTGAGCAATCATTAACGCTTTCTTGTGACTCCTTCCAGATACAACCTGTGCAGGTACAGCACACCATTCAGGAATGTGTACAGATAACTACGGCAATACAGTATGTCTTAGTCGAAATAATTGCCCCATGGTGCCCCTCCCCCGCTTTACTTTTCCCATTATTCTGCACTTCACTTTCCTCATTTATTGATATCTCTTGGGGATCACTCTATAACCACACACATAGATCTGCCTCATTTTCTCTATGGTTGCATGACAGTCCCCTGTAAGAGTGCACTGTATTGTATCCATCCAGTCCCACACAGATATTTGGGTTGTTTCTTGTCTCTTTCTACCACAGGTGGTGCTGCAATGAATATCATTATACTAGGTCTTTGTTCATAGATGGGAGTTGAACAGTTAAAGATACATACAGGCACATATTTCAAATCACCCTTCATGAATGATTAGCTATGTTTGGGAAACAAAGATCCAAATGATATTCTTGGGATCATTCCTCACCTAATATTTCCCACCACCCTTCCACTCTCCCCACAAAACTGGATTTTCTGGGGTCTTGCCCATGCTTCTTCCCACCCTGATTCTCAGAGCTTTGGGGAGAACTGGCAGAAAGAGAAGGGTGAAGCAGTATACTGGAGGGGTTTGCAGGTTTTCCTTGGCAGTGGAGAGGAAGACCAGTAGGAGGCCCGGGACTCTCCTTTAGATGATTAAAGTGACTAGGCCAGGGTTTCTCAGCCCCGGCACTGTTTACTTTTTGGCCAGACAATCCTTTGTTATGGGGGGCTCTCCTGTGCATCCCTGGCCTCCATCCACTAGATTCCAGTAGCCCCTCTACCTAGTTGGGACAAGACCACACGTCTCCTGGGGCAAACTTTCCTCCCCCCGCCCCCTTGAGAATCAGTGCTCCAGACAATTCAACCGTGGTAAATTAGTCACTGAACCTTTTCTAAATATCCAGCAGCTGGGGCCTGAGAGTTTGTGATCTGAGTGGGGAAACGACCGCAGGAGGATGCCAACTTGCTCTCTTCTATGGAAGACAGCAGCGACCACCTGAGGGAGCGTGTCCACATTCTCCCTCTGGTAATCCATTGCCCCTTCCTTCCTACCTCCCAGTACACAACACAGTGCAGGACCACACTCTCATTGTAAAACTTTATCCTTATCACTCCCAATTTAGAGGGTTCCCTGGAGGGAACGACTACTGTTTTAAATTTAGAACTCTTCCCACACATCTACATACCTATTTTAACATGCAGGAATCAGGAGTTTTGTTTTTTGTTTCGTTTTTAACATAAATGGGGATTCACTGCATGTTTTGTTGAACTCGATTTTTTTTCCAATTAACTATTGGAGACCGGTGCATATCCATGTAGTTCTACCTGGTCGTTTTTTAAACTGCTGCATAGTATTCTATATTATGTGCATATCACCACTTAATCAGTTTGCAAATTGGTGAGCAATTATGTTTTCAATTTTTAAATATTCTAACAAAACTGACAATGCTGCAGTCAACACCGGGTACATGCCTTTTTGTAGGAAAAAAATGTAGTTATCAACCAAGAAGTGGGATATACACAATTTTAATAGAGGCTACCAAATAGTCTTACAAAGAGTTTAAAATTCCCCCCAAATGTGATTAAGAATAGCCTTTACCCCCATCACAGGCTACCTGGGATAAATTACCAATCTGTGAATTTAAAGCTTCGAGACCTGCTCTCATTAGCGTCAGTTCGGAAAGTCATTTTGCAAAATGCAAATTTCTTAGTCCAACCTGTAAGAAACCTTTACAGGGGCTCTTCACGGTCCTCAGAATAAAGTCCAGATTCCTCAGCATGGCTAACACGATCCTGGAGGTTCTTAGCCCAGAATACCTTTAGCAGCTTCTCTCCGCTGGGCTGAGTTCCCTCCTGTGTCCTCATAGCCCCAGGCGCCTGTTCCCGGGCTTGGGAGCAGCTCCGGGCCCAGGGCAGCGCCGGAGTCTCCTGAATGGGTGACATCGGGCAGGGCCAGCGTCTTTATCATCTCTGACCTCAGCCTTTGGAGCTCAATAAACGCTGAACTAGCCCGGCCGAAGCTGGAGTGGGGCCGGGGGCCGCCCGGAGCCTCCAGCCTGGGGCCAGGCCCGGCGCACGGAGGCGAACCGGGGCGCTCCCGGGCCCCTTCTCCGCGCCAGAGGCGCTCCACGTGCTGCTTCTGCAAATTTCTCCGCCAAATTGAACGGGAGACCTCCCCGCGGGGTCACATTCTTGGAATGAGAACGGACCGAGGCGGGTCTGTGTATTTCCACGTAAAATGTTCCTGGTGACCAACAGAGGGCCCAACAAAACGCCCAGGGGACTGCAGAGGGCCAGGCTTAGCCATCAACCGTTTCGGAAAATCCTCCGGGTGTCCACAGTGGAGTTCAAAGGCGGAACGACCTGAAAATAAGCCCCGCACCCCCAGCATTAGAAAACCGAATGACAGTGGTGGAGGGTGACGCACAGGATGTTGCGCTGAGGCCAGGGCTGGTCGGAGGATCTACAAAGCACCTTCCCCGGCAGCAACAAAAAGGGAAAGCCTCGGTGAGCACCGTGAGCCGCCCACCCGGCCGCGCTGCAGGGGCACCGCCACGAACGGCGGGGAGAAGTGCGTGTCCTCAAAGGCCGGCGCAGTTTCCACGTGCGACCTTTTGCAAGATCTTGGGGACACAGGGGGAGCGCCTCTCTCCCTCGGCTCTCCCTGAACACTTGCTAACAAGATTGCTGACTAATGTGAGAGCCACCAAGTGCCCTTAGGCGGCCGCACGGAAAGCAAAAAGTTGCTCTAAAAAGAAAAAAGCAAAACCAGGAAAGTTTACCGCTTGGTTTCCCTGGCACCACACTGTGGGGAAAATGTAGGAGATGGGGCCTCAGGGGCCAGACCGACCAAAGGAGGGAAAGAAAGGAAAGAGGACGGACGCCCAGAGCAGGGAAGGCTCCGAGCCGCCCCAGAGGGCACGGGGGCCCTGGGGCTCGGTCTCCTTGGTGCAGTCCAACCCCCGCGTCAATCAGCTCCTTCTTGCGTTGCGATTGGCCAGGGACTCCCTTGGCCTCCCTGGCGCCCACCTCCTAGTTGCTTGGGGTTTACTTCCCCAAAGTACACGGGCCCCACCTTGTGGAGCAACCGCTCCTGCCTGGAAAACGGTTCTCCGCCCAGGGGAACGCGTTTTAACGAATGGGAGCGGTCCCACGTATTTATTGGCTGCCATGGGTATCGGTCAAAGAATCTCCCACCCTCCTTTCCACGATACGTTTAAGTAATTGGTCACTGTCAGTGCCAATCCGTTACTAGGGAAACGAGATCCTCACAGTCTCATAGGCATAAGTCAAAGCCAATCAAGAGCCACGCCTTCATCCTGAGTCAGTACCCAATTGCTGCTCGAAGAGCTCAGAGGACGCAGTCGGGATTGGTCACCAGCCTGCCCGACCTGGCCGCAACAAGTTAGGTTGAGTGCACTTATATACACCGGCGACGGAGCACGCGTGTGTGCGGACGCAGTTGCGTGAGGGGTTTTCGCCTTCCGCTGTGCTGTGGAGCAAAGCCTGTTCCTCTCCCGCTCAGCCGCGCAGGTACGCCGGGGGGTGGGCGGGGCCGGGCTGCCCGGGGGACCAGGACGAGCTGGGGCGGTCGTGAGAGGGAGAAGTCCGAGCGGCGGCCGCGCACCCCCCGCCCCCACCGCCAACGGCCGCAGGCGCGCGCGGCGGGCGCAGGGCCGCGCGGAGCCTCTGCCCCCGCCCTCACCGGCCGGCGCGCGTGGCCGTGTCCACGTCCGCCGCGTGCGCGTGCCGCTTCCAACGGCCACGCGCGGCGAGAGCGAGCCGCGGCCGCCGCCCGGCCCCAGCGCGATCTCGGGGGCCCGGGGCCCCGCGCGGTGGCTCGCCGGCCTTTCCCGCCTGTGCCCCACGCGCCCGCCGGGCCCTTCCTGCCTGGCGAGGGGCTCCAGCTTGGCCCCTAGCGGAGGAGGCCTTTATTTCGGAGCAGGGGCGACACCAAAGCGCGATAAGGGTTTTTTTTTTTTTTTTTTGGCCCGGGAAGCAGAAGGGTTGCTCCTCGCCTTTAGCGGGAGAAAGGGGAGCGGCGCATGCAGGGGTCCTGAGTGATGGTAGTAGCTAACACTTCCCCTAAGCCCTCGCTCCGTCCCAGGCGCTGGGCTGCGCAGTTGGGGTGCCTGTGTCCCTCTCACGACGACCCGAGGAGGTAGGTGCGCCGATTTCCCTCGTTTTGCAGCGGACCCGGCGGCCCAGAGTGGAGTGACCCGGTGAGAGGCACACAGGCGGTAAGGGGCAGGTCTTCGTTTGAACCCAGGCCTGCTGACTCCTGGCCCCCACGCCTGTTTTACTCTTTGTTCCAGCGCCCTGTGCGGCTCCAGGGCACCTTTGGCCCCAGAGCACCAGTCCCTGGGGACAGCATCCGCCAGAGAGGCCGCCTGCTGCGAGGACTACAGCGGCATTTGTCCTTGAGGCCGTCACGGGCTTCCAGGGAGACGGGGGTGGGAAGGGGGATTATGACAAAGGGAAAGAAAGAATGTGGGCTTCCTTTCTACATGTCCTCGTACGAATAGCTGATGGATGTGCCGCCCTAAAAGCTTCTGGAAAAAGTAGGGAAGAAGATGAATAAGTGCAGACGAACATGGGCAGTGTTCCTCGTCAGGTTTGGAACTCCTATTACCTTGATGGGAAATTCCCGCCAGCAGGAAGTTAGGCTCTGATGTTAACCTTGAATCTTCTTTCTTCCTTTTGATCGGAGCAGACTTTTGAGAAAGACGTTCGAGAGGCTAGTTTAACTTCCTCGTTTTGTAGTTAAAGAAAATGAGGTTCAGAGCGATGAGTTTCAGATCTCGGCAGCACGTGTAGGTTAACATTTGAAATTGCGATAGAAAGGAAGGTGCCCAGTTACAGCGTAAATCCGACCCCTGCGGAGCTCATGCTGGGTGAAGTGCTGCTTGAGAAGTGTTGGCAATCTTACCCCTTTGGCGGTTGGGATCTTCTGTGGGTGAAAGCCTGTCTACCTTCATTTTTTTCTTTAGCAATGCTAAATAAAAGACTCCTGTGTATATACGAAAGTAGAAGACGCTTTCAAAGACTTGAATTTGTGTTTTTCTACTACAATTGTACTTTAGATTTTATAAGCCTGTATACACCCTGGCTTAATGAAATAATGTCCCTCTGTTGCAGGTCCAAATCATTACTTTACATCACAAATGTCTCTATTTGAGATAAAACTACAATAAAAGTTTTGGGACTAGCCTTCTAGATTAGTTCTGATTGTAATGGCTTTCAACTTTTTGGAGTTTTTTAAGAATTTTTTTTTTGTTTGTATAGACACTTTTTGGGATTGGTCTTTATGAGTAAGGATCTTTTGCAGTCAGAGGGAGCATGTAATTTACATCCTTGTAAGAAAATTTAAGAACTGTGAGGAAGCTTAATATTTGTAAGTGTTTCTATTTATCCAGTACTTTCTATGTTTCTTAGTACAAAGTAGCAATAGGTAAAGGGTCAAAATGTTGCATGGACAAGTTTCATACCTTTGTTGGTGTTGCTATAAATAACAGATTGCTTTACAGTATAACATTGTTTTACTTGGAACTTGCCTTCCTGTAGCAATGCCATTTACCTGCATTTAGACACCTGTTAACTATTGAATTGGCATTTTGAGTTAGCAAATGTTAAGACGCTGTACCTGCTTTTAAAATGGTAAGTTTGAGTCCAGCTGATTTATTACTCCTTGAGGTAAAATAAATGAGAATGAGATTACCTTATGCATTAATTGAGGGAAAGTTTTGTTAGTTTCCCGTTCAGGTATTTAAAAAAACACTGTTCTTGGTTTCAGCAAATGGTTATAAAAACTGATATTTCACAGATTGATAGCCCAGTTGATCTGTTATGCGTTCATTTATCAAGAACAGCTGAATTGGAGCAAATTGGGATAATACAAGACTTGTGTGCCTCTCTGCTTCCCAGCTGAGGCAGAGGTTACTTTTGTTGTTAATCTTTTCAATCTGAGCTTTTGTACCTCTTCTGACTGGTAGAGAAGTAGGCAGTTCTTTGTTCTTTTTTTTTAACTTGGATTCAGTTTGCTGGTCTCAGCTGACAGTCTGCTAAGGAAACACCAGGATATTTGGTAATGTTTTTGGTGACCTGCTTTGCACCAGATCTTTGTAATTTACCTTATTGATTTTTTTGCTTTAACTTGTTTTAGTACTTTGCATAGAAAGTAAAGGGCAGAGGTTAGTTTTACATTTTTACAGGTTTGTGAATTGTGTATGGTTCTTAGGATGCATCGATGGGTCAGCGTTAAAAGATGAAGTTTGATGTAAAGCCTGAATTTGTAACCTAAACCAATTTTGTCTTTTCGTCAGTTTAGTAAAATTACTCACTTGATCTTTCAATGTTTTGCAATTAGACTGGTTTTTTAAAATAATATTTCAGAATTCAAATATGCACTGTATGTCCATTTAATTGTGCTTTAAGACTGCCTTGGACAAAACTTACTGACTTTACAAAGGGAGATAGTTGTCAAAGTAGGCAGGTTTAAAACAAAAAAAGCACGCCCCCCCCCCCCATCAGTTGTTAACGGCTAGTGGGAAAAACCTTTAGTGCAGTACTGTTCTTCCAGCCCTGGAGTTAAATTTAGATTCAGTAACTGTAATCTCACTTGTAGCTGGTGATCACGCTGTGGCGGTTAACCAGGTTTATGTTTTAAAATCTCAAAAGTCAGCTTTCTTTTTACGGATTTTTGTTGTTAAGTAATCTTGGACACCGTGTCTGGCCTTGGTTGGGAAAGCTGACTTGGAAGCTACGTGATATGGCGAAGGCTGGGAATGATCTGCGCATGAAGAGGGGGCTTTGTTTTATTTATTTATTTATTTTAAAGATTGGCACCTGAGCTAACGTCTGTTGCCAGTCTTTTTTTTTTTCTTTTTCTTCTTTTCCCTGAAGCCCCCCAGTACATAGTTGTATATTGTAGTTGTGGTCCTTCTGGTTGTGCTATGTGGGACACCGCCTCAGTGTGGCCTAATGGGCAGTGCCATGTCCGTGCCTAGAATACGAACTGGCGAAACCCTGGGCCACGGAAGCGGAGCACGGGAACTTAACCGCTGGGCCATGGGGCCCGTCCCAAGAGTGGGCTTTATACAGCAGAAAGTAATAAAAAAAATAAGTTCTCTCACAGGCTGTGGCCTTAGTAAATAAATAAGGTCTTTAGATGACCTTAAATGATAGATTTCCCCTTCTGTCCTCTGATACTACAATGTCATGTTGTAATACTGCTTAGCTGTGTAGCCTGTGTACTGTATTTCAGATGTTAATAAAAAATAAGAGGCGGTTCAGAGAAAGCAAGCTGGCGTCCTGGGTGGGACATACTTCCCCTTAGTAGGGATGTACTCCTTCCTGGCTCTTAAGTGGCTATGTAACAGCATCGATGTATATTTGTATAGCCCTTTGCGTGTTTTAAAAGTGCTTTCACACTTCCTAGGTATTTTCATGTTTTTATTTCCAAGAGAACTGAAGCTCCGAAATCCAAATAGTTGTCTAAACTCTTTTGTAAAGCATGTGGTTGGTGCACCTATTAGGGAGCTGTAGACTGCTTTGTGCTATTTCCTTATTCAGGAAACCTTGAAGGATTCAGAATTTGGAAGGTGTGAGTCTAACACCTACCTATCATGGTACATTTATCAAAACTAAGAAATTGACATTGGTAAAATACTACTAACTAAATGATTGACCTTACTTGAATTTCCTTAGTTTTTCCACTAAGGTGCTTTTTCTCTTCGAGGATCCAGTCCAAGGTACCACATTGCATTTAGTCCTCCTGTCTCCTTGGTCTCTCTCTGTGACGGTTTCTGTCTTTCCTTTGTCATTTATGACGCTGATGCTTTTGATCTCAGTTTGGGTATGTCTGGTATTATGTCTGGACTGTGGTTATGGGTTTGGGAGAAGACGACCAGAGGTGACTTATCAGCCTTCTTATCACATCAGGGCATGTGTAATGTTATTACTGGTTGAATTTAATCTCGATCACTTGATTCAAGTGGTGTATGCCAGGTTAGTATTTGCTCCCTTTGCATAGTCTCTTCATTAGAAGCTAGTCACTAAGAGGGAGGAGAAATGGTGATTTTGTGGAAATATATTAAAGCTACCACTGTAGGGTCTGGCTCCGTGGCTGAGTGGTTAAGTTGGCGTGCTCCGCTTCGGCGGCCCAGGGTTTCATGGGTTCGAATCCTGGACTCGGACATGGCACTGCTCATCAGGCCATGCTGAGGCGGCGTCCCACATACCACAACTGGAAGGACCCACAACTAGAATGTACAACTATGTACTGGGGGGCTTTGGGGAGAAGGAGGAAAAAAACTACTAGTGTAATTACTAAATATTTTGGGGTAGACACTTTGAAGCTTTGCAAATATTCTATTTCTCTAAAGTTTCCTCCCTTAATTTTAGCATTTATTAGTGGATCTTTCCTGCAGCTGTTGCTGGGGTGTTCTAATGGTAATTTTTTATCTCCTTCATTCCTTCTACATTTGAAATTCTTCTGTAAGGAAGACTTGTCTCGGTTTATTTTTAAGACTTTATTTTCTTACCTGTTAATTTTTTTATTTAGTCATTTATGTCACTATAGACTCATGGGTATTTTATTCTTTGGGTTGTATTCCAGTGCTATTCTAACTTACTTTTACTTATATTTTTTATTTTACAAATTGTTCCTATTTTGGCTCTTGTGTCCTTTTGACGTTCCCCCATGCTTTTTTCCCCCAAGTATTTTCTTTCTTTACCAGGTGATTCAGGCTCGTCTTGTATTTTGCCTGTTGCAGTCCTAGAATCAACTGTTCTCCAGGGAGCTGTCAGGAGCGATTTTGAAGGGAGGCGACAGGTGGTAAATGTGAAGAGTTTGGAAAATAGATTGAACAGTGGACCCGTGATGGTGATACTGCTTTTGCTCTGAGCACAGACATTGGCTTCTGTATTAAAGTTTCTCTGGTTCTGGGAGAACGTTTTTGTTTCTCTCATAACTAAAGTAAATTTCAAATGTTGGAATGCATAGCATAACCTTGCAGAAATTTACAACAGTTTAATATATGCTCAGTTCTTATAAACCCTTACTGGTTATTTTTTCCTACTATTTTTGATAAATTATTAAAGTAAAAAGGCCGCAAAATCCCATCATACCTGGCATTGATAATTAACATCGTGTCACTCTTTTACGTTTGACTTCTTTTTTTCTATTCAGTTTCCCATTCCCCTCCTTTCCCCTGAGACAACCTTTCATCTTTCAAGGCCATTTTATTGATGGGGTAAAAATTTTTAAGAACAGCTTCGTTGAGGTATAATTGACATAGATTAAACTGCGCATATTTCAGGTGTACTATCTGGTAATTCTTGGCGTTATTTATACCCATGAAACCATCATCACAA